AAAATAATTTTGTGCAAAAATCAAAATGATTGCTAGAATATCAAAACGTTTTACAGCAATGCTTATCAGTTTTAACATTCTAACCAATTATTTTGATGATTCAACAAAAAATTATTTTCAGATCTGTATTTAGACCTTTCAACAAAATCGTTTTTTCCATGCATATACAGTAAAAATATATATATAAATGTTATATAAAAGAATGTTGGGTATGCCACAGTGGCACCGAAGGGTTAAAATATGCTAGAAAACATTGAGTACATTTAATACTAAAATGCTGCATCCAAAATCTCCCTCGCAAGAAGACACTGACTCCAAACGCGCTCAAGATTCTGCCATTAAAATTGATGTTTACGAGACACCTCGTGCGCGCGAAGCGTCGAAATCTAATCTGCATTCTGTGTACCGCTTCACGCTGCAGATGTGCCCACAGTACCAATTGCGCTTTCGGGTTAGCACCGATATCGGTCTTTACCGGCGGAAAAACATCTGGGGACCGGAAACCCCCCGGAATGGTACGTGAAGGAGCCATAAAATCGATATTGTAACGCGACAAACTATCTCGGCGCGGATAACGAACCGCTCCCACATCGGCCGGAAGTAAATCGCGGATCGTACATGCCGCACGGAGGATATACGTGTAACAAACGAGCCGCTCATTTTTCTCCTTCCTTACTCTCTCTCTCTCTCTCTCTCCTTTTTTTCTTGCTCTCCTGTGGGTCCTCTTCGACGTGCGCCGCGCCCTCAAGTCTAAAGCCATAAAGACTTGAGGGTCTCCCGGGTAAAAGGCGGCTCGTTAAGGACGCGAGCCGATCTCTCAGCTTCCAGCGGTAAGCACGGATATGTGTACGTGGACCCGAGGGGGCTTACCACGCAAGAAGTGAAGTGAGCCGGAGAAATAGCGGCGGGATAATGGCATAAACGTGTGCCTATGGTATCCAAGGATTATTATATTGATCAAAGAGACGGCCGAAACCGCGACGGTGAAGCGAGGAAAAGTTCGAGGATAAGCGTGTCTTTATTAACCAAGAATATAGAAGAGCTATCGATAAATATACCGGATAAGATGGATGACAGTCCGCGACGGTCCGTCTTCATTTCCCGCAAAGATGCTATACCGATGCGTATATATAAGAAGGGGCAGTATATATATTTTTTTTCTTGTGACGTTAAGGATCCTTCAGACGATCGATCAGCGGCAACAACGCGAATCCATCAAATAAACGTTAATGGCGTTCGAATATTAAGTTGTTCGAATGACCGTGGGACTCGAGGGCTCGGCTAATGAAGCCGAGCGACGTCGCGCGGTCGCTAAAAGTCGGGAAAGGAGATGTAATTAAAGGACTTACGAGCTAACGAAGGTCGGAAATGAATGGCTCGTTGATAACTCAAAATCGCCTCGTCGTAATTCTTCCTGCCCTGCTGCAAGATGCCCCTGTAACAGACAAAATTTCCTTATTAATATGCATTCTAACATTTTTAATATATTAACCGTAACGTTTTACATTATTGTGTAATTTTTATTTTTACAACGAGAAAAAATTAGAAAAGGATCGATAAATATACACTGGTTCAAAAAATTAAAGGATTACCTGTTCTAGCCTCTAAAAATAGGCAAACTTCAAGATAGAGCAACTTCGTCAAAAATGATCGTATCGAGATGATCAAAAAAGCA